AGGGGCGCTTGTTTTAGCCCCCCTGTCATGGCCCCAGGCAACGCTTAGGGAAGAGCCTGGCACAGAAAAGGGCCACAGAAAGGGGAAAAAGGCCCCGGAGAAAGAGGGGCTACCCTTGGTGCCAGCTTTTTGCTGGCCCACGGTGGCAGCGCGTCTGACTGCCCCGCTTCCCTGGGCCGGCCTGAAGCGCTTACGGCAGAGCCTGGAACAGGCTGTAGGGCTTGTCCTCACATCTGTGGCTGCGAGGACAAGCCGGGAAGGGCAGAAGTGAGTTAGAAAAGCTGGAAAAAGATGTTATTTAGAAATGTGGTGAGCGTTGGTGACTCCTGGTGCGTCACGCCTGCCGGAGGCTGAGCGTGCCCCTCGTCATGCGGCCCGTTTCCCCAGCAGCCCTCTGAACCAACTGCAGCCGGGTGACAATTCTTTAATGTCAGGTTGCAAAACAACCCCTGTGATGAAATGCTGACATTTGAAATTGAAATGGCTGTTTACTTCAGAGTGGAAAGCTTTAATCAGGTTACGGAGCAACTTTGTTCTGTGAACTACACATGTGGAAATGTTTTCTGTTAATCAAGCTTCGTTATACCTTTCAAGCTGGCTCTTAACTCATTTTGTATCATCATACACCTGGAGTACACAAAACCAAGAACGGGTTTTATGTGGCAGTGTTTTATCTGCTGCTAACTCCTTCAGTGAAGCCAGATGAACTTGCCGTTCAATCCTCCACTCGCAAAGCGTGAGCACGCATGTGAATGGCAGGATTCAGTACAGAGCTACTCTAGTTGCCCCTTAAAAAAAAAAAAAAGACAACCAAACCCACCAAAAAACCACCACCAACAAAACCCTTTTGTTTTCGTTTCTCCTAACAGGGCTTGCGTCTGCTAGCACATCCTGGTTTACAGTAAAAAGGAAATAAATCATCCCAACAGTAATTATTCAGGATGTAGAAACAGGAAGAGAGGAAAATGGTAACTGGAAAGTTCAGAGCTCCGTGGCAATAACCAGCATTGGAAAGACATAAATTTAGGACAAAAGGCAGATTTAGGCAATATCACATTTGTTTTCTTTACACTGCTGTTTTTTCTCAGTGTTTCCAATAGGTTTGTTTTGTTTGCATGGTGCCAGGGTGACCAAATGTTTGCTCCAAGGCTGGCCTGTGTGTGCTGTATATCCCAGGCACTGCCCCAGGAACCGCGTCCCCTGGCCAAACAATATCACGGGGTCCCGAGAGGAAGGCCACGAGAAACTAACATTTACAAATGTGAAAGGCCGCATCTGTTAAACTGGAGATTAACCACAGACTAATCTAAAGACTGGCCTGGTTTTGAGCACATCAGACTTGTATTAAGGATTTTAGTGTGCATGTCTTTGGTTTTAATGTCCCTCTAGATGGAGAAGGAGATTCTGGTTTGGTTTTTTTTCTGCTTTCTCTGTAAACCAGAAAACACAGGAGCCCTACCTTGTTTTTTTCTAAGTATGGCTAAATCCTATGACTAATCTGCCTTTGCTATTGTTGTTTAGTTTCTGTTTAAGTATTCAAATCAACAGATCAGAACAAAGTCCCAACAAGATGGGCCTGCCATGGGTAGTTCTTTAAAAACCTTGTTAATAATGCCTCCTGAAAAATTCATTCTTCGGGGAAATGATGTTACCTAAAGCAAACACAGGCAGCAACATGCTGACATCGAATGCAGGCTATTTTAAAAACAATTATGGATTAAATTAATCAGTTACATGCAAAAAGTTTCATTATTTTCCTCAGTTATCCCTCTGTCAAAGGAGATAAAAGAGCTGGGCTTTGTGCACACAACTCAGGGCCTAGCGGAATTAAACTAATCTCCATAGCCTGCAGCAAGGTGCTCTACACAGGCCACCATTAGCATGTTGCAGCCACCACTGATTGGATTCATTTAATTCTCCTATTAATCTGTGATAACCATCTACATGCCTGTACTGAGCCCACCTCTTGTATTTTTGGGGTGTGGGAGGGGGTGGGCTGAATACAGAGAGCTTCTTAAATACCTCTTTTCCTGTCCCTTGGCTTTTTCTGTGTGGAAAGCTTGTGCCCTGAATGTTGCACACTTCCTATCTGCATAGATTCTTTATACTATTTCAATGATAATTATTACCAAGTTGAAAGGTACTTCTTTTTAAGGTCAGAATGCAATGTTTTATCTATTGTGGGCCAGATTCTGCCTCATTTTCACACATTATGTGTACAAAACAATCCCCCTGGCTGGAGGTGATGGCGTTCATTTTACTGAATTTCAGCTTTACTTCAGAATTTCTTTAGAAAATGTTTTACTACCTGAATTTGGTACAGACAAAGGAGATCTGTTTACTTTTAAATGGTGTGGTAATCGTTGTGATTGTACAAAACATACAAATTTAACCTATCTATCTGCCACTCTTCCTCCAGTAGCTCTTGGTGAATAAGAATGATCAAGCAGCTGACTGAACCGTATATAAATAAATGCAAAGCTGAAAAAACAGAAATCTGTATCTTGTGACTGGCCTGACTGCACAGGTGGTTCCAGCCTTTGCCAGGGCATGGGGCCTGCAGTTGGGAACACCTATTTTTTTCCAGGCGGTTTCAAAGTAGGTCACTGGGCAGTAGTACGAAGCAACCTACTTTCAGAAGAGAAGAATCTGGGGTCAAAGAAATGTTTCCAACGAATCTGTACATTCTAGAACACAGGCTGGGCCTGTTTTTTATGTGCACTAATGTCTTAGCAACAGCATATAATTTCTACATGAGCAATGTCAAATGAAGCAATCTGTTTATCTTTAGTTACAAGGGTTTAGCCTGGGACAGCCAGCCAGTCAGGCGATTTGAGTATGCGTAGCAAGTTCAGTACTGTTCCTTTGTTCAGATAAAAATAGGGCTACTTGCCACAGGGAAAAAAAAACAATGTATATTCCTATCTCATAATATTACTCATACCTACCTCAGGTCTCTCTCACTGTGTATGACACAGGATAATTACATTTACCTGTTTACAGTTGCGGAGATAAATATTTTCTCCTCAAACCTGTAACACTGCAGTAAGGCCCAGTCTTTGCTGAAGTTCCAGCACAAGACAAATAGAACTGTGGCATGTTGCTGCTTGTCCTTGTGCTGCCAAGCTCAAGGATTGCAAAAATAGTGAGTCACAATTCAAAGTACTGTGAGATTGTCTGTAACATTATGAGATTACCAAAAAAAGGCAACTGAGTTTTGTTTTTTAAGCCCTGTGCTAAAAATACCTTAAATAAACAAAGTTTTTAGTAAGTTACCAACTTCAGGAGCTGAATGCTTAAGAAAACAAATGGATATCCAGATTTGTACTAAAAAGAGGAAAATGAGCAATACTTCTCTGTCTCCCTGTTTGTTTAAAGCATACTTTGACTTCGCAGGACACATGGGATACAGCTTTAAGATCTGTACTGCCACCATAAACAAGCTTGGGCACGTCTGTCTCTGTAGGTCTAAATGACCCAGAGGAACGCTTGGCAATTCACTGTGCTTCTGATGTAAGGGGACTTCTAAAGGGCATTTTATAAAGACACCATCAGCCTAAAATCACAGGTTTCTGTCTGCATATTATGCCAGTGAAAGCAACAATTAGTAACTAGGTTTATTCTAAAAATTACTTGTCTATATTTTTGCAGTCTGCCTCCTGCCTGTGAGTCTTTTGGATCTGATCCAAGCTGCACTGCAGTGAAGGAGCTCTCTTTGTTCACATTCTTTCTGCTGTGTCTGAGCCGATTTAGCATGTGGTTTCTGGGATGAGG